ATTATAGTTGTCATTCATTGGACTGTCTGTATATCTCTCTCTCTCTCTCTCTCTCTCTCTCTGTGTTGCATTGCACAGCACAGCGCAGCACCGAGGGATAGGGGTAAGGTAACCAAAGAGATGGTTAAACTGCGGAGCTGTCGTGTTGGTGTATCTTATTCATGTATCAACATTGACGTGTAGCATAACACGAGTCATGTTCTAAAAATAATAATAAAGAAAAGAAATCTCCATCAGATAAAATAATTCTTTATTTACACATATGAAATTATTAAATACACTTATTATTTGTCATGCTAATTTGTTAATATTTTGCCGCGTGTATTTACTCGTAAATAAATAAATCACCTTGTCACACCCACAACAATGCAATGGAATAATGTGAATTTCTCCCATATCATCTTTCAAAAAGAGCCAAAGAAAATATACATGTGTATTTGGGCGGACGAGACGACCATGGTTGTCAATGCTATCATCATATCATGGTCATGCCGTTTTCTGTGATCATTACAGCAATCTGCTAATGACAACCATAGCGGTAAAAGTAGAGTAGAGGAGGTGGTGATATTTTTGCACATTGGATTGGTGAGGCCATGGTCATGGACCTACGTACTACGTACAGGTGCCACTACGTACGTGTATACGGGACTATGAGTGAGGGGGGTTTGATTTGAGAAAATTTTACATTTTTATGACGAGTGTGAATAACAACACATATCCTGAAATAAAACTAACGGGAACCGTTTCAAAAGCAGGCAGGCACGTCCAAGATATGTCATTGCTGTTGGCCCACCCCGCCGTGTAATCATGGAAGAAGATGGTGAACCGTGTGGGGCCCCACTCCCACCCTCTACGGCTTTTCTTTTGAGTCTTTTATGGCACTCCCGTTTCCTTCAACCCAACCCACCTCGCTCGTCGTAAGCGTGATACATCATCCATTTGAAATTCGAATTTGAGAGAAAGCGAGAGCATCTCACAACACAATCAATCATCCCCCAATAAACATCAATCATCCCCCAATAAAGTTTAAGTTTGCTTTCCATTCCAACGGTAACGCACCAGCCTTTTAATTTTATATTCTAATATATGAGGCTGCGCTCATCAGGCACAGCTCGCGTGATGTATGTACGGTGGATGTTGGGCCCAAAACTCGATTACATCCTCCATTTCAAATCACCCAAACAATTCCCATCTGTGTCTCTGACGAGAATAACGGCCCAAATACGCCGATATACAGCTCAGCTGACCCAGGTTCCGTCTCCATTCTCTATCTATTTTAATTGTTTCGTTTATTTTCTTTATCAGATGAGATGGATCCATTAACCATAACTTGAGTTTAACACCGACAAGGCATATACCAAGCAGCAATTAGTCTATTATTACATCTCTACATTAAAAGAACATAACAAGACCAACAAGGCATACAAACAACAACTACGATATTTGTGTGTGTGTGTGTGTGTCTGAGAGAGAGAGAGAGAGAGAGAGAGAGAGAGAGAGAGAGAGAGATGTAATGTAACCAGTAACTAGTTACCTAAACAATGGCCGACCACACCAATCCTATACCTTTGCTACAGAATCTTACGATTCTGCTTTTGTTTTGCCAATAATAGCCTTTTGCTACAAACAAATCATATAAATGGGATACAGAAGCAAATCGATTATATATGTATATAAGGGCAGAGTATTTCATAAATTCCACTATAAATAGATACCTTCTCACTACGGCCAAAAACACAAGAAGAATACATTAGAATCACCCTGCCCTACATCCATCATGCACAGAGGAGAAAGAGACACAGTAGAAAATAATTACAACTACAAGTGACCTGAGGAGGTTGTAGAGTTGGCACGTTTGCATTCACACATGCAGATGTTTCTCGACTCTTTCACCACACGTTGAGATCTTCGAGTGTGAAGTTTGATATTCACCAACTTACCAGCCATCTGTTGCACAACCAACAACGCTAAAATCAAACATTTCTAAACCACAGTTGGGCCTCTTATCTTTGTTTATGCAAGTGCATGTAAGTGAAAACAAAACTGGTTTGTGGGCCAACATTTTACGGAGCAAGAAAATCATACCATTCGCCAAACCAAGTCTTCTGGACCCAAGGGTTGAGCTGGACTGGAGTATAGGAAATGCCTTGAGTACTGGGAAAGATGAAATAACAAAATCAGTCCCCACAAAGACGTAGCTCGCTAGCTCAGAAAACATCCAGAAGCACAAGATAAAGAAACAGCAAGTCTAGTCAAGCAGGGAAACTAGAAATGCATCTCTAGTACAACCCCTTGACAAGAAATACAAATACAAAATAATAACATTCACTTCAAATATTCAGTCACTTACCTTGGCAAGATTCTGACGGATTTCCTCAATCTGAGCAGGGCGAATATTTCTAAGAAATGTTAAAAGCCAACCAGGTTGTACAGCATCACTGGAAGAAACAAATAAAGCTATCTGTAGGCAAAGATAAAAGGCAACTGTTGAGAACATTGGGTATAAGGCCAACCATACATGCCATGACACACGGACTTCGGGGCAGGCATTAAGCTGTGAGCAATTATCTACCTGACTAATATATCCTATACCCAATATTTAGATATACATACCTTTCTATAATCCAGTATTCCTTCAAAAGGAAGTTCCAGTTCATCACTAACTATGACTGGTATGCAACCACTAACAATGGCATCGAACAATCTAGCGGAGGATGGAGTATCACCAGCTGGACTCAAGCAAAAGACAGACCTGACAGAGAAATCAACTCAACTAAATTAACACAGGAACAATGAAATTACATCACCAAGAAGAGCGAGGATCCAAAAAAGTTTACTTGCGCATTCCTTCTTGAGCTGCTGCTTTTCCTCCCTCTCCTGCTGTCCCCTCCTCTATAGCTACACCCTCAGCACCACTTAGTTCTGCTACAAGTTTTGAGCGTATTTTCCCTCCCTGAAAGTAGAACACAATAAATTTGCTACAAGAGCCTGAGATTCTTACGTGGAGAAATGGAAGAAGCTTTCTCCCGCATTGTTTCATTAATCCACTGAACGATGATATCGATTAACTACAACTAATGGCCTCTACATCCTATGCCCGGTTCTTTTGTCATTTAAGATTGTTTTGCATGCACCCAAGCCTAAAGTCCTCCTTTAGCGTACGCGCCAGTTGCTTTAATCTCCAAAGTAAATATTATATTCACTTCCAACAGGTTCAACACAATTCAATGGAATTTGTAGCAAAGAAATCCATTGAGAAATCAAAAGTCTTACAGCATTTCTTTTAAGCCGGCCACGGAAAAAGACCAGTGTGGTTCTCTTGGATTGAGTCTCGGATATGCATCTCGAATCACAAAAATCAACATTGGGAACGTAAGGAAGAATTAGATCTTTCTCCAGAAAGACTTGTCCAGGTTTGTACCTAAAAGTAGGGCAAAGTAGAGTTAAACAGGTTGAATTTAGGGCTTTTTTTAATAAATAAAATAAAGATCCAGTGAAATAATAACCAGTTTCCGGTGGAGTCCATATCAGGAAGCAGCCAAATTGCATTCTTCATGAAGCGCCGAACAGATTTAAAAGACCAGGGATGGTGAACAGGAAGTATGTGATCCCTTCCTTGGGATCGGTTCCAGGCAGGCTGATCGGTGACCCACTTGAGAGCTTCCTTCATACACAAATAAATAACAACGATAATACTTAGATAAGCTAGCAATACGAAAGGGGTTCAAAGATACAGCACTCAAAGACTCAAATGTTTTTAAGCTTCAAAATAATCCATTAAAATCACAATTGAATACACCCCCACTAAGTTAACTGTGCATTAATTAGAGTGTAACATAATAGTAACAGTGTGAGATACATATACAGGTAAGTATGATCATACGATGTGCAGCAATTAGCAAGCAATTAAGGGAAACCTTGGAGGATGCAGTCAGACCCTGTAAAGTGCTTTGCACTGCTGTTTCTCCAATAAGAAGAAGCTAATGGTGGTGAAGAATGGGATGTAGAAGAGGTCAGCCTCCTCCTGCCTATGCACTCTCACTACGCTTTTCAACAGCCTCTCCGACTCTGGAGCAATCAAATCCGCCCACAGCCAGTAATCAATGGAATGCTGCACAAATTAGGCCAGGAATTAGGAATTGAAATCAGAAGATTAAAACGGAATCAGTAAAATGTAAAAATAAAAAGCAAAACCTGTTCGATGAGGCGGTGAACGGGGCTGCCATTAGAGGTGAGATTGGAGGTCTGCCTGTAAGAGTTTCTGAAGAGCCAGAGGAGATCGAAGGTGAATTTGGTGGGCATGTCGTAGACGTAAACCCTAATGGGCAGGCTGAGCGGGTAGTAGGGATCAGCGTACAACCTCTGGGTGTGGGTCTGGAAGATGAGATCGTCGAGGTGGTTGGGTTGGTGCTGGGGTAGCGTTGTAAGGAGGACGGTGTCATCACGGCGGGATGATTTGTGGGCGAGGAGGAAGCGGTCGAGGGAGGCGACGAAGGAGGTTTCGGGTTTGTAAATGGGTTGGTGGTTTGGGTGAAGAAGAGTGGTGGTGTCGTCGGAGGGGGAGGGGCTATGAAAGGAGAAGAGGAAGAAGACGAGGGAGAGGGCGAGGAGAGCGAGAAGTAAGAGAAGCACCGGGGATTTGGATCTTGTCATTTGCTTTCCAGCTCCAGGCATTCTCGTTTGTTTGTGTTGTGTGATGTTTTCGTTTTGTTTAAAGACGACACAACTAAACACGTACACAATCACACCCACAAAATGTTGTCAATTGTCTTCGACTGCCGGTGCTCTTATACTGCTGCAATGCAAGTTGCAACAACAGTCTTGCCTCTTCAATGACATATTATTGAAGTAGGATTAGATCTTAGTAAGTATGCATTAGATTCCTATCACCGCTTGTATTGTATACAACAATTTTGCCTCTATTATGTCTCCTAAACCTAATGAATGAAAGAGGTACAACAAATATATATTTTTTCTTTTTTCTTTTTCGTGGACACAAATAGAATAATATATTTTATTAGTGTCCATCAGATTACTGTGCATCCAAATTTGATAATAATTACTTTTACACAAAATGTTTTGTGTGCAGGTCAATGTACTGAGAAGAACAGGGAAGGAGAAAAAAAAAACGACAATTATGTTCATGAAGGTGAAATTTTTCAAACATCAAACTTCAGCGGCGTCTCAAATAATCAACATCTAAATAGCCTGGTATTCACCCCAGCAAAGCTCTCCAGTCCAAGTACATGGAATAATACATTTACACCCTCTCAAAAGCTGATCAGGTCATCCTTTGCTGCCGGCTGCTGTTTCTTCGGATCTTGGCTTCCTTCAGAAGAACTTACACCTTTCTTGCCAAATATCATCTCATCCAGATCATCCATCATGTCATCATGGCTCCCTGCATGGACCAGACCTCGAGAAGCAGCTGGTTTTCTAATCAAGGAATCCTCTTTCCCATGACTCGGTGATTCATCAGCCTCCACAGCAACGGGTATCATTGCAGGTTCTGGCTCAGTCGGAACTACCAAAGGCTTCATCAGTTCTTCATACTTGGATAGAACTTTATGGATCTCATCATTCACATTCAACGCTTCAAACAGCAAGGCCTCGTTTTCTCCAGCTGTCTCTATAATTCTCTGGACGGCGGATTGAGACTGACGACATTGTTGTACAAGTGTGGCTGTCAAGTCATCCTGCCAAAGGGACAACAACATTTAATCCATATCGCTTTTGATAACACCAGATCTAGTTCTTAGTTTCTAAACTTAAGTAAATAACTAGTTATTCTTGAACAAACATGTGTAATTGCATCAGAGAATATCTGCCCTCATACAGCACTATAATTCCTTCAGGATTTCTTATTTGTTGTCGGGCTGATATTATACAAGAGTTAAATTAACTTTGAACTGGCTATCACCATGGCAGATATTATCATAAAGTCAACCCAATGCCACTTGGCTCTAGATTGGATGGAACGTGGTCCTATGGAACAGCCTGGGTGGTAAATCGACCTATTCCAAAGGCCCATTAACGTTTGAGTACCGGTGGTGTCCTGAAAGTTGTCTAGCCGACCCTCGCCCCAATAAATTTTAAAAAAAGAGTAAAGCATATTGGTCTAGATAACACAGGAAAAAGGATATTGGTTTAAGAAACCCCATGTATTATCAAATTAGATATCACTCAAATATGATATGCAAGCAAGAAAACAATATAGAAATCACCTGTAAAGCATCTTGTTGGGTTGAAGAGGAGAAAACGGTACTAAGAAGCTCAATACTGTTTCTTGCAACATCAAATACTTCCTTTGTTTGTTCAGCCGTAAAGCCTTGCACAGGAATATCAAGCGGAATTTGCTGGGAAAGGCTAGCATCTGACTCAGAAGCTGAAACCGAACGTGGGGGAGTGAAAATTGGTGCCAAACTCTCATTGTCACGACCAGGGAACCGAATACCCCTTGATCTTAAACTCTGAAATTGTGATGGTCCAAGCATAAAAGTATAAATAGCATGAAGCCACTTCTTTTAAACATCAGTAATAAATAGATAACAACCGCACCATCCAGCGTGATGAAAGCTAAAAAAACTGTAGAAGACATTAGCATAAAAGCCACGGAAATTCTGAAATACGTTATACTTTCAATTTTGGGAGTTCCTCAATTTCTTTTCCAATATTAGCCTAGTGCGCCTTTGCACTGGTAAACTGGTTAAATTTTGTATTTCCTAATGAGCTGCAATTGTGCCTCAAAAGAAGAACCTTGGGCCAAATTGCGGTTGTATATTTTAAGTACTTCCTATTAGTCCAACTAAAATCAGGAGGAATAGAAGTGGATTTGGGTCTGTAACTATTTTTTTAGTCAAGGAAGAACAAGATGTTATGTAGATTTGACAAGATATGAAACTGGAACCAAAACTTTGAAGATACCTTGTATGTTTCCTCGTAAACAGGCAAATAGCGGAGCTCACCGGTCGATTCCCCCCATGCTTCGATCAGCATCAAAGCCTTATTGCGATTATTAACAACAGTCTGAGGATCGTCAATCAGCTTCACCATCTCATCAAGAACTCTTTCTGCAGCTATCTCTGAGAAAGCCTTCTCACAGTTCTTAACACATGTTTCAAGCAGTACTAGCGAGAGGTACTGGACCCTAGGATTCTTCAACATAATCCGCTTTTTTATTCCACGAACTAATTCGACACTGTTGACTCTTTCAGTATTGATCATGTCACAAATATCAAGATTCATAGCCCAGTCAGGCTCATCAAGCGCCTCTGATGTGGCATCTTCGACGATCTTATCTGCTTGGTTTGGGCCTTGGAAGAGCTCCTTCACCTTGAAGCTCACTGAGCTCAAGCCAGCGCTCATCTTTCGACCGACCTCAGACCCTTCGATCTTGAGGCGTTCGCCAAAAGCACTCACTTTCTCCATCAAATTGTCACTCATCTTCAGAATCCTGCTAACTCTAAAACAGAAACCTCCTAAAAGTTTTCCTGCAAATTTACCATAATGCTAATTAGTTGTCATCAAAGATGGAAAAGATACATAATTATGTTTACTAGTTGAGCAGATGTAAGAATTTCTTATTTTGAAACCCAAACAAAATTACTTTTCGGGACAAGCCTGAAGATTAAGCAACCTAAACATAATTCTGATTTCTTTTTTTCCTCTTATCTTTCTTCAGAAACTCGAACCAGGTTGTTGAAATCAAAACACCGAAAGAACCATAACTATACCAAAATCATAACTGTTACCTTAATTGGCCAAAGCTGAGAACTTTTCTTCCCCGAAATCCCTCCCTTTTCCGCCCCTCAATTTTCTTAACAACGAACTGAAAGAGATGACAATATAAGAAGATTATTCAAAAGATATCTAGCAGTGTATATAACTAAATTTCCAAAAACCCTAAAGAAAGCAAACCCTGATGAAACTTTTTGTTTACTGAGAAAAACGGTAGTAGTACCCGTCTCATATGCCTAGTTCAGGTCAACAATCATAAATCAGTTTGCTGTTTTCTTTTTTACTATGATGACTTTTCTTCTTCTGCTTTCTCAGCAACCAATCAAGTCAAAATAAAAAGGGAATCGATGATCAGACTAGGAATGGTTGTGTGTGATGAATGAAAAATAAGCCCGATATTGGTCAAATTTTGATGAAGAAAAAGGGTTAAGAAGTTACCTGTTGTCTCTTGAGAATTCGAGAATGGGAACAGAGATTGAGGAGTGGGTTGAGAACTTGAGAGACGGCAAGGCGCAACGACTCAGTAAAGTGAATATTTTGTGTAGTCTCTCTCCTTCCTTCCTTGGAGTTTCAGCCTTTTTCTTCAGGCACTTTTTTTCTTTCTCTCTCTTATACGTTAGCTTAGCCTTACCTCAATATTTATTTCTGATATTGTGTTTTTTTAATTAATTAATTAAAGCTGACGGAGACGGCGTATGAATTTGAATAATGGTACGAGTTTGATTGACAATATTGGCAATTTCTTCGTGATGTTGGTGTGGTGATTATTAGTACCCTTTGGTGCATGAAAATTAAAATTTATTAACCAAAGATTAACATACAAATTACATGATTTACTTTGACCAAAAAAAAATTATACAATTTACATTACATTAAAAAAAAACACTAGATAGATATTATGATCTAATATATTTTGTACTGTTATTCCTATTGATCTAATAAAAATTTATCGCTTTTTTATCAAAAAATAAGACTTTGTCATAGATAGAAATAATATTTCTTATTGGGAGGCAAGGTGGCATTCGTTCGGCAGGAGGATTAATTAAAGCGTTTAGATTATATTCTAGTATACCTTACATTACATGACTCAAGAAGAAGAAGAATAATACTAAGTAGTAGAAGATGAACAAAAATTAAGAAAAAGGAATAATGGAAAATGCTCAAACCGCGTGGACTGTTTTTCTTCCTTCCCCCAAGTCAGTAGTCAACGTCAAAGTTGTTGGGTAGAGCCTAGGGGTGGAGAAATCTATCCCCTTCATTTTATACCGTTTGATTTGGTTCCTAACCTTTGTCATTGTCCCAATTACACGCAACGCCTAACTTAAACCACCAAACGCAACGCCACACACACACTTGCATTAATATACACGCCCCTTCCCTCCTCCTCATCTCCTCATGGCGTTGTTTGTTGTCTCACATACATCGCGGTGGAGTGGACCACCACCCATACCACAATTATTTTTTAAGTTTTTATTTTAATGATTCGCTTCGCAGAATAAAAGTTTTTTTTTATTTTTATCTATGGTAATTAAATTGAGATTTTCTATTTAAACCCCGCACTTCTCTTTGTTCACCCCAATACTTAAATCATTAAGCTGTAAGTTTTATTATTGTGTAAAAAGACAAAAAAGGTCATCGAACTTAATAACTAACCCTAGTACACACACCCCACACACTCCACCACTCTTCATATTAAGTTTTAGAAACCTCATTCCAACTTCATGTTTACAAACTCTCTCTCTCTCTCTCTCTCTCTCTCTCTCAAGTTCTCAACTCAACAATACCCAAGTGTTAGAATTCCAGTTACAATCCTTGAAGAGAGGTAAATCTGTTCTCTTCCTCTAGATATTAAATTTCGGATTTAGGGTTTCATTTGTTTGTGTTTTTTTTGGTTGGGAACAAAGAAAATTGTGGGGTTTAAATAGAAAATCTCTTTTAATTCTTATTTTTTCAGTTTGGGGTGTATTTAAGGGTAGGTTGGGAAGATAGTGGGGTTTTCTTAGAAATTGTGAAAATTTAAATTAAAAATTGGGGTGAACTTAGAACATGAGGTGAACTAAGAGAAGTGTGGGGTTTAAATAGAAAATCTCATTAAATTACCTACCACTTCCCAATTTAAATGGATGATTAAAGGGAAGGGACAAAGGCCCAATCACAAACAGACTAAAATCTCAATATGGGTCAATACTTTAAGGCCAGCAAGTGATTTGATCCATTTATTATGATCAAGGGCCCAGCAAGCAGGCGTTGAGGTTGCTCCAACGGCCACAATTGTTGTTCTCAATTTAGCTTAGTTGTCAACGTTCACAATACAGACCCAGCCGCAAGCAGGCAGCATCGATATCGTTTTCGGTTCCCGGACTCAACTCACCCAAATCTCGCACGCAACGCCCGCCCTCACGCACTCACTTGTTCCGCTTCTCATGACCTCGTCCACTGCAAAACCCAAGGGAAGGATAAGTTACACGGTCATGGCTGCTTGAACGCACAACCGTCCGATCTAGGGTTACTAACTTCCAATAATACCCTCATTCGCATTGACAGTGGCACACACTCCAGGTACCATTTTTACTCCCATCACTCCCTACCCCCAACCCTGTTTGTTTCCACGCAAAATTTACTATGATAATATTAGGACATGTGTTTGATTTCGAAATTTGATTGGCAGCTATAAAAGAGAATTGATTGTGGGTGGATTGGATTGGATTGTGTAAGTATATATATATATATATATATATAGAGAGAGAGAGAGAGAGAGAGAGAGATGATGATGGGGTTGGGGTGGGTGGGTGCCATTTTAGTAGGAGCAGGTTGGCTTGCTTTGGGTTATTGCTTTGGTGCGCGTTACCCTCCCGCTCGCATTGTTTTGTCAGCTAGACTAGCTAAGAAAACTGCACTTGCTAATGATACTAATGGCAACAACAAGAAGAAGAAGAACAAGGACCCACTTGAGATTGATAACCTTGCTGACATTCTCCAAGATTTCAAAATGGTATTACTTCCACTTACATCTCCAACATTTCAAAGAAAACCAAATTGCCTATTCACTTTCTTCATTGGTTTCTTCAGGTTTTGGTGGTCAGAAATGATCTGAAGATGGGTAAAGGGAAAATTGCGGCTCAATGCAGGTAGCTGTAGATTTTTATTTTTTTTTTATTTTTTTATAAATATTTTAATTCCCATCACTTGAGCATTATGTTGAGAATGATTGATTATTTTGTCAAGTGAAACACGCTTTTTCCTTGAATAGTTTATAGAGTTAGTTTTCTCTCTTGATTGAATTATGTTTTTGTTCAAATTCTTTGCCAAATGTTTGCCTTCATTTTTTTCAGCCATGCGACTTTGGGCCTCTATAAAAAGCTCCTCCATCGAGCACCCAAAGCTTTAAACAGGTACAGCAACAGACTGCTCTGTGATTTTTTTGTCTGCTGAACAATGTGGGTATCTTCATCTCTCACTCTCTCTCTCTCTCTCTCTCTCTCTCTATGTTTCCTGTAATGGTGTTATGTCAATATGCAGGTGGGAGATGTGTGCACAGCCGAAAGTTGTTGTGAAAATTGAAAGTGAAGAAGATATGCTAGTTTTGCAAGTCAGTATTATAATACCAACTTTTCTGGCATGACGTAAACATAATTATTTCTTGCATGCTCTGTTCAATCATATAGTCTCAGAGAAGCTGCAAGTTTACTAAAAGCAAAGTGAATTCAACTTTATGGTTAATGGTGACTCTTTATTGATTTTGACAGGAGAGGGCAAAATCGCTGAAACTACCAACCCACATTACAATCGATGCTGGCAGGACTCAAATTGCACCAAGTGAGTTGAAACTTTCCTGTATATGAGGTTGATCACGGTTTTGATAGTTTTGAGTGTTTGGTGATGTTAGTGTTAAAACATGGCACTTCTGTTTACCAACATTTCAAAAAACTACTGAGAAATGGCGGCTATCATCATAACATGAGAAAGCTTGAATTAAATGGATTAGGCTGTTTTTGAAATGCCCTGGAAGAAAGAGCATTTCCAAGTTTTGTGTACCCCCATCCTCTTTGAACACTTTTTAAGCACATTTTGATATTACCTGTTTTCTGAAAATACTGATGCAAACAACTCCATTATTACTTGTCTTATTCGTTCCCCATTTCTGCCATGAATTTTATATTCTTCACTAGATGCTTATCCATTTGACTGTTCAAAGTGACTTATTTGTCTCTATGTATTCTTCCAGATTCAAGGACAGTGATGGCTATTCTTGGTAAGTTTCTCTTCTCCATTATCTTCCTTTCGATGGGCCTTTTTCAATTTGTAACTTTGAAGTGGAGGACTCCATCAAGTATGAAAGGAAGTTTTTAAGCCTTAACTATTCCCCCTGGGGGGTTTTCCCTGGTTTAATCTTAGATTGGGAGGCCAAGCCCCCTAATATTTTTGTTGGGAGGATGGTAAGTAGGATTGGTTTTGAGCTTGTGAATGTAGTGCGTCGGACAAAATGTATAGAAAAGTCAAAATACCTTGCCATGGTGCATAGCTTCTGGTTGTATTAATGGATTCTTCCATGTGCAGGACCCATTGAGGTGGTTGACGATGTAACAGGTGGACTGAAACTCTTGTAGTTGTTTGATTTAGATGGTGTCTATCTAATTTACGATGAGATATGAGTTGAATCATGCCATGGGCACTGCAGTATCAACCATATTGGAAGAATATCGGTGCAATGTTATATTCGAAGATCCATTCTCTGAAGGGCCTTGACTTAGAAATCTGCTTGTATTCTCCGAACAATTATGATGATGACGAAAATCTCTGAAATGTCATCATTTATTGTTATGGAAATTGTACTTTTAATGTAAACGAGGTTCCAGGTTTCGGCATTGGCAGCATTCTCTCATCTCATGGAGATGTGTTCTTATTTACTCTAGTTTCTTTGTTAAGTGTTTTGGGAAATGATTTGTAATGGTTGGCTAACGTTTTACCCTCAACAAACTTGGAAAGTCCTTACTAATATGAGCAGCATTTGTCGTAATCAATGGAAAGGGGAAAAGAGAAAAGACATGGTGGTCGTGTCGTGTGGTGGTACTACAATATCGGCAATTCCAAGTTGCGTTGCATTGCATTTGCATGGCAGCTGATTCACTCACTGAAACTACGAGTAGACTGTAGATGCTTGCTTCATGATTATTGGCTAGGATAACAAAAAACCAAGTAATATCGATCGCCCGGCTTTCATTTTGTATAAAACAATCTCTTATAAAGCTTTTCTAGTACCGCACTTTGTATTTTTTTTTGTTAAGAAAAAATCCAGTGCAAAAACAAAAACAAAAATGTTCAGAAATACTGAATATCCCAAAATTTTAAATTGCTTAAATAAATAAATAAAAAAAGGAAAAAAGGAAAATGCTAGCGTCGCCTGAGAGATTCGAACTCTCGCGGGGAAACCCCATGTACTTAGCAGGCACACGCCTTAACCACTCGGCCAAAGCGACGTTGATGACCTTTGATTGCCTTTTTTCTCTTTTATTTGGTTACTTTGCTTCTTTGATTAAGCGAGTGGTTATTCCTGTCGCCCATTAACTTGCTGTGGATGTATTATTGGATTGGAAGGACTTGAACAAATAAATAAAAAATGAAGCTGTATGATTAACTTTATTCTGAATTTTATTAGTGCCGGCCACCCACCGGGCCCTGACGCCATGAGGTTCGTGGATTACTTACTTATTTGTTCTATTGTTTGACTAATGGATTGGATGAATGAATACATGTTCTTCGTCTTCATCATATTTATTAATTTGAAATTCTTTATTCCAACAAGTAATAACCAATAGAAGTTGAATAACTAGACGAGGATTCTTGTGATTATTGCTCGGCCAAAAAAGAAAAAAAAACAAGGAAAGAATCATGCAATACTAAATATATCCAGTCAAATAAATAACAAAATCACTGAAAACCTACCTTTTATTTAATTTCTTTTGTTGTTGTAAAAGAATCCAAACACGACTTGTCAAAACCTCTGAGCGGCTCACCACTCAGCTCAGCAGTCCAGTCCTGAAAACAAAAGGGGAGGTTGATGACAACTCCAATATCATTTTTTTAAACAAATTATAGTTAGTGAAGGAAAAGCTAGGATGCTACCTCCGACTGGTGGCGCCCGAATGAGTACTCGTACTAGTGGGAGTCAAAGCAAAGGATATAAGACGGAGGAGGAGCAGATGGCGGAGCTGCGGGAGATCTTCAGATCGTTCGACGGGAACAAAGACGACAGCTTGACGCAGGTGGAGCTGGGGTCTTTGCTGCGGTCGCTGGGTGTGAAGCCCAGCCATCACCAGCTGCAGGCGCTGATCCGAAAGGTGGATACCAACCACAACGGACTGGTGGAGTTGTCGGAGTTTGTGGCCCTTGTGAAGCCGGACCTCAACCTCGTACAACCTCAAGCCTGCAGCTACCGCCAGGATCAGCTGAGGAACATGTTCAGGCTGTTCGATAGAGACGGCAATGGCTACATCAGCCCCGCGGAACTGGCCCACTCCATGGCGAAGCTAGGCCACCCTCTCACGGCTGATGAACTCATCGGCATGATGGACGAGGCCGATACCGACCGCGATGGCCGTATTGATTTTGACGAGTTTTCCAGGGCCATCAACTCCGCCGCCTTCCTTAATAAGTAATTATGTGTTTATTAATTATTATAAATCATATATGAATATTGAAATTGTAAGGAATTAGCAGCTGGCTAGGCAGTCACTCATGATCTGGTCATTAGATCATGCGAGTGAGTAAATTATGTGTTTATTAATTATCATAAATCGGGTTGAATTTCGCTTTACCCGTTTACTATGATATGATGATGATGATATGTGGATTTCAAATATTATGTCTCTAATTTACCACGTAATACTCGTACATTCTGGTTTTTTATTTTAACCATCCATTAATAAACGCAGCAGGAAAAGGCTAAAGATAGAATGAATGGTTGATTATATATATATATACCCTGTTGTCATGGAATGAGTAGGTTTTTATTTTTCGTTGAGGAGTATGAAGTAGTTAGTGAAGATTTACTTGGAGTCTTGTAGGTCTCGAGCCATTGTTTAGTTTTTCTGTTAGGTGTTGGGCGTTTCTTCACCAAAAAAAATTAACAAGTGTTATTGCCGTCTCATATATATAAAAACATCTCATTTTATGATATGACAAAAGTCAACTTAAACGTTAAGTCCACTCAAACCTGAACAGCTAGCATAAACATGTTTTTTTTCCTTCTGATTAATCGCAAGCATGTCTAACTAAGAATTTCCAGAGAAGCAAGCTCATCATCTGTATAATTAAATAGGAAGGAAAGTAAAATAAGAAGTTCATATACTTAGCTTTCTATCTGTATAATTAAATTATCTGCAAAGATTAATAATCATTTTAGAGGTGTTGACCATTTTAATTATGTGTACGGAATAGTTTATTTCAATCTACTTAGAAGAACATTTCAAAGTATTAATCTTTACTCACAACGAAAGGAAAGGAAAGGTAATGATTTATTTGTAAATTTAAGAGAAGAATAACTTATTTTATATTCAAGTATCATTGTTAGAATAGAAAGGAATATAATTGTTGAGCAGAAAGTCACAACATTAACATTTCCTGCTCTCGTCGTGCTTCCGAGTTAACTTTCTAATTCTTATTTCAACACCAATTTTTTGTTTTATTTATTCATTTATCTAAACAAAAAGTTAAGCTGTATTCTTTGATTCCCGTACCTACGTCTTATATATAAATGTATGCGCGGCTGATTAATGAACCAAAATGAATATGAATATATTAGGTTCAATAGTGATATTGTTGTCATGGGTGTGTGTAGATGCTGCAGTGTTTCTGAGCATCGATTGTGGTGCTTCCGATTCTTACACCGACAGCCTTTCCATAAACTGGGTTGGAGATGATGACTATGTGCACAGCGGCGAGTCCCAGTTGGTGGAGTTGTCCAGCTCAACCCCTCATGTGGCCAGCACTCTACGAGTTTTCACAAGTCTAAGGAAAAACTGCTACACCATCAACAGCGTTGACATGATAGGTCAACGGCTTCTGGTGCGCGCTAGCTTTTACTACGGAAACTACGACGGTAACAACTCTCCCCCGACCTTCGATCTCTACTTTGACTCCACCTACTGGACGCAAGTCAACTTAACCGGGGTTTCCGATGCCATTGTTAATTACGAGGTGATATACACTGTGAACAAAAACACCACCAGCATATGTCTTGCTCAAACCCTGCCTCGCCAGTTTCCCTTTATATCCGCACTCGAATTCCGCAGTTTAGCTCCTAAAATGTACACACGCGTTGCTTCTGATTATGCTTTGTTCAGGCAAAAGAGGCTTGCTTTAGGTGCACAACAACTCATTAGGTAACTTACTTGCTTTGCTACTATATATATATATATACAATGCTATAGCTATATAGCTATATATATGTATGCTTCTTAATAATTATGTATATAAAATGTAGGTATCCAGACGACAGTTACGATCGGAGATGGGTACCCGGGTACGGTTTGTTTGCATATCAGGCGGAAGGTGAGGCGAGAATATCCAAGATGGATGTGAGTGGTGCAGAAGATAATCCTCCTGCAGCTGTAGTACAAAATGCAACCACCGGCAATAACACGTCCGAGTATTTTGAATTATATACATACCTCCCAGACTTTCCAGTTCAAGTGTACATCACCACCTTCTTCTCGGAGGTGGATCCTGCAGCACTCACTTCACCCAACAAACGATCCTTTGAGATTTATGTAGACGAGCAGCCTTATTCCAAACCCATCGTCCCACCTTTTGAGAGCGTAGTGGAAGTCGCCATCACCAACATCACTGCTTCTTCGAAAACATCCATCACTCTCCGCCCCACTGCTGATTCCACCCTTCCCTTCCTCATCAATGCCTTTGAAGTTTATCTCCTGTCTAAAGTAGGACCAGCAACTGATACCAGAGATGGTAATTAATTAATCACCTTTTTGTTTGAAGCTTATCTCCTTTAATTTCATTAATCAGCTTGTTTGTTTCTGGTAATGAATTCAATTAGTGGAGGGACTGGCGGTACTACAAGTGCAATTCGAGGTGTTAATTATATGGAGCGGTGACCCTTGCTTTCCATTAAGCTCTTCGTGGGAATGGGTTCAGTGTAGCACAGGCACCATTCCTCGTATAATTGCACTGTGAGTTTCATTATTATTAATTATAATTAGGCTAGCTCTTTATTTTCATTATGATTACTTATTCATTTTTCCTGTCAAAAATCAATACAGGAATCTGAGTAGCTTCGATCTGGTTGGTCCACTACCAGATTTTAGTTCCATGGGTGCCCTTGTCACAATGTGAGTTTTTTGAGTCGACCTAGGCTATATATATATGGTATGCATTTTCAATGAATAATTAATACTGTTCTTTTTGTTCTCTGGTGGTGGATGGATCAGTGATTTGCACGACAATAGCTTAAATGGTCCTATCCCTGATTTTCTTGGCTCCTTCCCGAATCTAAAGCGACTGTAAGTTATAGCCCCTGCCAGCCCCTGTACAATCAATATTTTCAGTGCATATATAAATATATTCATGTGTGTGCTGTGTGCTGTGTGCTGTGTGCTGTGCACCCGCCCAGGGATTTGTCAAACAATAGATTCAACGGAACCATACCCACCTCCTTATCCAAAAACAAGAAGTTGGAATTAGTGTAAGTGATCACATATTATTTGATTTTTTGTTCGTTTCAACTTGTTCAATTTGTGTCAAATTATTAAGTAATTAATTTGAATCTTATATTTAAATATTATGATTGCAGTGTGACTGGTAATTGTCTCTCTGGAATGTCTTGTCCACCTCCACCTAAGACACCGCCTCAGACTCCACCGCCCCCTACGACTACTAGTACTGAGACTACACCACCACCACCTTATAACAATGACAGGACACCGCCGCCGCCAGATGTATCCCAATTCGGTTCAGGTTCAGGTTCAGGATCTACTGATGATAGCAAGAACAATGCCGTGCTTTCTATGCTAGTGGCAGCCACGATTCAAGCTCTACTGTTAATTACCTAGTTTCCCTAATTAATCATTCAATGAATAAATGAATAAATGAATGTGATATTGGACATCTTAGCTTAGTTTCATCTTTAATTAATTAAGTTTCGTGTGCGCGCAACACAAACTAAACTTGTTCTACTAGCTAGTACAACTGCTTATCAATATTTTCAGTAAGTTTCGTGGACTTGCATGGTGCATGCTTTCGGCAGCTAAACAGAAGGGATGAGGGGAAGCCGCGACGCCGACTCAATAATGCTTCCCTCCGATTGATGAGTTAAGCCTTCTCTTCTCTTGCCTTAATCATGTATAGTAGTTGTTGATACCCGCAACAAGGGCTTGCTTAATGCGGAGACAGACACAGAGTGACCGTCTCTACAAACGACGTGCGTTTTATTGTGCCTGGAAATGGAAATACCTTTTTATTTTTATTTCTCCATAGAAAAGTCTAAAATACCCAACTTTAGCTCATGTCAAGCCAGATTCACTCAAAACCACCACACTCGCATCGTTGTTAACGAAAGCAATTCCTAACCCTAACCCTAAAATTTCATCAATGGACAATGCTCAGATGATCAGATCCAAGTGGATCCTTCGCTCCAACCACACCCGATCTCCACCAGTCCGAAATCGCCATATCCGATCATCTCGTAGAACGGATTGTTGTATCACTGACGCCTCACCAAGAGAGGCAGAAATCAATAATGGCTGCGATTCAATTCGATTCTCTGACCGGTAATCTTTGCTGATTGAGAATCAACACCTCAATTCTTCTCTTACCGATAATCCTCGTTGGAAATGGGATGCATATTCACTGGCGAAGACCTCGATAGGATTTTCAGTGAACATGCGCGCGACCGATCTGAATTACGCTGTTTCGAATCGCGTCGCGTAGGTTCGGGCTGCTGTCTCGCGAGTTCGAATTCGCTTTGCATTTCAGTCCAATTCCATTGGGTCCCGTCGATGGCCGACTTCTTCTAGAAGAAGCGGAACGCGTTGATCGCGTGGTGGGAAGCCTGAGATCGATGATTTTGTTTCTCACTCATTCAGTGCTTAGTTTTCTTACGAATCTTCACCTTCGTGATCTCTATATGCTGGTAATATTACGCTTCCTTCTATTTAGATATGCACCGCTTGATTAATTTTGTGAGGCAAATTATTTTTCATTTCTGTCAATAAGTATGATGGATTATCAATTGATATGAATTCTACTTTAAGCAAAAATAAATTGTTTAACGTCCGTTGATTTTGTGGGTATGATATTAGGAATATATTTATCGTTACGTTTAGTTTTATAAAAAATATAAATAAAAAGTTTGGATCAGTTACTATACAATCTACTTGATGAACGTATTTCCTACATGTTCATCAAGTCGGTATTTCCGAAAACACTAAACCCTAAACCCTAAAATACCTTACGGAGTTACTTGTTCGGTTGCTGTTAAAATGTTATAAAGCTGCATTTCAGAGTTACATATTAGTTGCCTTTGATTTCAGTTTGACACGTTTACTTTCATTTGAGTTAGGTTTGTTTTAATAGTTGGGATTAGCAATTTTCATCATGTAGGCTTTTGATTCTTGGCAGCGTCCCTTGCTTCATTTGATATCTCTTACTTTTCCATGGTTGATCTTTTGGACTCATACCTAAGTGTTTGTAAAGATCATGTCATATGCATTAGCAGTGGTTGTCCGTACTATGTTTTCATTGCTGTTATTTAGGTTTAGAAATTATGTCACATAGTTAGCGCCACCTTATAGAATTTCATTGGCATGAAATACCTGAACTTCCAGAACTGATTTTTTTTTTACCATCCACCGTCTGTTTCAGGGATCATCTGTAGTTTATATGGTAATATAGGTTTTTTGGTCGGAGAGGTGAATGATGAATATCCATGCTAAGAATGTTGAAATGTCATACCTGCCTTATTTGATTATTTAGAATATGGGAAATTTAGCCATAATAGTTTACTTTTAATTTGATTATATCAGTCTCAAGTAAGAGAAATGAGGCTTGCTTGACATCTCAATGAAAGAGGGCCTGGAATGGTACCATTTGATTTATCAGGATTCATACCTTGGGTTGACAGAGTGAATTGCGTTTGCCTACTTGAAATGTAATTGATTCTGTGTAGCCCCTCTCTCAACTTTTGTCAGGTTTCTGTCTGTTTTATTTTTTCTAACGTAGTTTTATATCTTGACTTTGTGATTTGTGCATTTAAAGTCCTCATATAATCAGGCATTTGAAATTGGGCTAGACTTAAATTTACCAGCTCTTATGAATCTGCTGATTCTGCTTCTTGTGTTGCTGTTTGGTTGAACCTTTTGTAAACATCAGTAAATTACTGAAAATGATGCCTTTGTAAAGTTACTATACTTATTGTTAGCTATTTTGTGTTTCCACTTCCTGGAATCAGGGGTGGACCGTCATAGAGACGGGGAATGTCCAGGGCCTTTGCATCATTTAAAGGGACCACAATTTTTTACCAAGCAACTGGCCTAGAAATATCAAAAGGAAGTATTTTTATGATGCTAATGACCCCTGCAAGGCTGCAGTAAATGCGTGTCAAGGTCTTGGGGTTGAAGTACCCCCATCCCTCTGTGTTTGTCTTGTCACGGGATGGGTTACCATGCCCTCCTGATAACTAGATTTGTTTCTGGCTGCAGATAGGACGTTATGTTATGCATGTGTCTCCTTTTCTTGTCTCAGCCGTTTATGTGTTTTTGCTTTGTAATTTAGTTTGGTTTTGGTTTACTTTTATTTCGCCCTGGTTTTTGTAAGTTCGTTTGGCTGTGGCCTTGCTGTGTTGGCTTGGCTATGGCTCTCTTGATGTGTGTAGTTTCTGCCTTTTTAGCCTGTTTTATGAAGTGTCATTTCTGACCCCAAAATAAAGAGTGTGTTAAGTGATGACTTGCTAGATTATTAAGCCTTTCTTTGCTGGCAACTGGCTCCCTTGAGCTTTAGCTCATTTGTTTGCATTTTTTTCTTCTTCTCTCTTTTTAGTATTATTGGATAGGAATAGGCTCTAGCTACAATGGGTTTTATTAGAAGTGCTCTGAAGAACTGTTTTACAGTCCATTAGAATTTTCAAAACAATCAGAGTAGTTATGTAAAATTGGAAAATATGCTAACGTCAATATTGATCCATTTCTTTTTCTCTATAATATGATGCATGCGTTTAATACGTTATAAGGTTGGTAGATTAGAAATTGATCTAGATGCACTGGAGCTGTGCTTCCAGTTATTGTACATCAATTTTTGTTTACTTTATCTGTATTTTTTTTGCCAATACTTGATTATATTTCTGCAGCTATGCTTCTGTTTATATGCATTCATTTGGTTGTTAGCTGTCTTTTCAAACAGCCCTATTGTAAAGTTTGAGAACGCAAAAAGGTGATAAAATAACAGCGATGGATCGATTACCTCACTCATGGATTTGTAGATGAAGTGAAGGTCGCGGTCGCCGCTGCGAAGCCTTGTGATCTTGAGATGATGATAATTTATAAGAAGGGAGTTGGAAGATGAGAAGATAAAATGAGAAAAAGAAAAGATTACGAGGAAGATGACAAATCAAGGCTACTGCAATTGTTGATGCTCTGATTGGGGATTTTTTGGGTGTTGTTTCTTGTTTTTAGGTTTTTCTGTGTTGGCCACAAATTTGAAGGCAATGCTGCTTGGTGTGTGTGTGCTCGTGTTTCCATTTTATTTCTTTTTCACTTTTTCAGATCATCTGATGCATAAGAGAACAATGGATCCACCGAAAAGAAATATTAATGATTTAATCGGTAATAACAATTTGGGCCCAAGCCGATAATCCGGAAACAAGACATTAAAATATGACAAAATTCCAATATTGGGCTTAACATGGGCAATGATTTCAAGATATTGGGTTTGAAATTGGGCCTATTTTCACATATTTGGGCCTAGTTGTGGGCCGGCTTTCCTGTTATTGGGCCCGTTCCTAAGTTATCTGGACGAACCTGGGCCGTTTTCAGATCATTGGTCCAGTTCTCAAGTAATTGGGCGGAATGCTGGGCCGTTACTACGTTATTAGACCGATTCCCGGGTATGCTTTCATGTAACTGGGCCAAATTATGGGCTTGTTTTCACAAAATTGGGTCCAATTGTGGGTCATTTATACAATATTGGGCCGCATTTAGGCCCCTATTTATTTATTGGGCCACCTTTTGGGCCTGTTTCCACATTATTGGGTCACATATTGGGCCATTCCCTGACTATTGCGCCGATTCTAAAATTATTCAGCCGACTTCGGGGCTTGATTACACATGATTGGGTAGACTTATGTGCCCATTTCAATATTATTGTGCCCACTTATGGGCCAATTTTCGCATGATTGGGCCAAATAATGGGCCACTTACAGCTTATTGGGCTGACTTCTGGGCCCGTTTATTTTATTGGGCTAACTACTGGCCTGTTTAAGGCCTATTTCCACTTTATTGGGCCACATTGTGGGCCATCTAATTAAAATTGGGCTGGATTTAGACCCATTTTAATATTATTGGGCCTTCTTATGGGCCTTTTTGCACATTATTGGGCCGACTTATGGGTCATTTTAAGCTTATTGGGCTGACTTCTGGGCCCTTTTCATTTTATTGGGCCAAATACTGGGCCTGTTTCCACGTTATTAGGCCACATTGTGGGCCGTTCTCAGATTATTAGGCCGATTCTGACATTATTGGGCCACCTTCTGGACTTGATTCAACATAATTGGGCCGAGTTTTGGACCCTCTTATGGGCCTATTTGCACATTATTGGGCTTACTTATGCGCCACTTTCTACTTATTGGGCCTAGTTGTGGACAAATTTTCTTGTTATTGGGCCAATTTCTGGCCCCATTTTCTTGCTATTCATACTATTGGGCCAAATTTTGAACCTACCATTTTCAGCTTACTTGTCGATTTCTGGGCCTCTTTTAATTTTATCGTGCTGAATTTTGGGCTTGTTCCCAAGAAATTTGGCTTGAAGCTGTGCTGTGTTCATGTTATTGCCCAGATTCATAGGCCCGTTGAGTGGAAATTCCTTGGCTGACTTCATGTTATCGGATCGACTTCTGGGTCTACTCTCCTGCTATTACGCCGTATCCTAGGCCGGCTTTCGCTCAATTGGGCTGTATGCGTGGCCGTTTTGACGTTATCAGATGCACTTCTGGGCCCGTTTTCATCTTATTGGCACAACTTTTCGCCCATTACAATCGTTTGGATATTTTGTCTAGTTTTATCCGACTTTAAATAAAAAAAGAAAAAAGAAAAAAGAAATACATGCTTCTTGTAAAATTGTAGTTAAAAAAGCGGTGTAAAAGAGGATTGTCCTAAGTGAGGACCCATTAACAATTGAAATATCGAAAACTCCCAGAGAAACTAAAACAAGATACACCACAATCCAATAGGCTTTTAAATCAAAGAAATTAAACAGTAAATCAATTTAAAAAGGATGGAACAGAAACAGCCGGGGTGATCGATCATTGCAGAACATTGATTAGTATGTTTAGTTATTTGTCTTTTCTGGCCGGTGATGGACTTGGTTCCCCAATAGAAGGGGAGCGAGATTCAAGGAAAAAGAAGCAAATACAACACTGAAACATTTACACAATTAAACGAAACACATCAATTATGTCCACTATCAGGATGCAAAAGATTAAACAAACCTTGTATTTTGAGGGTTTGAGGTTGCCAAACTCACCATCAGAGTAGCTCAAACCTTTTATTCTGTGTAGCTACCTATACTTATCGACTTCTCATATGAGAAAAAGAAAAGAGATTAGAAAAACAGAAACTTTACATTTGCAATAATCCTGTTTAAACATTGAAATACCTTTTTACTTTTTATAGTCACTTCCATCTAAAGAAAAACAAGCAATGAACTTCCCTCAACAGAACTCTATTTTCACTAAAATCATATCCAACCTACTAACTGTTATTGGAGAAATGAGGTTTCTACATGTTTCGGTCGGTGTATCTCTACATGTGTGTAATTTACTGTATGCTGTGAAGATGTAGCATTTAAAAAAATAATACAAATACAGAAGCACGACAAAATTATGTGACAAGGAAAAATATACAATCCATCAGGAAGGAAAAAGAACAATAAACAATGAATACCAAAAATAAAAAACTCAACGTCAGCAAACCCTATAAATAATGAAGTTTTATACCACAAACTTCCAGCATATATATAGGTTCCCAAGGTTTCTTTCTATAGCATCAAAAGTGGCTAATGTAATTTGAGAAAAACTAGCCCCAAAGGCGAGCTTTTGACCTTTTTTTCTGCCCAACCCATACTGGAAACTCCAGGTATACTTTGTGTGCTTTACTCAAATTGATAGCAGCTTAAAAACTACAGGGAATTAAAGTAACAAGACCTGATCGATACACAAAAGAAATTTGGTGCATCTGATTTTCATTGCTGGTATCCAAGACTCAGTAATTAATGTGTCTGAGTTTAAGTTTCTAACCAAATGGTAAAGTATCAACCTGAAATTTCAGTTTCTAAGCTGTTGCCATAAAGATAGGCATACATAGAAAGCAATTCAGCTCCTAATAGACAAACCTACATTGCCTAAATTTTCAATTTCAACAGAAAATGTTCAACAACAACATCCAAATGGCGTGCTTCTTAGACTCAGGCAACAACTATCTTCAAATTCCGTCAACGAATTGTCTTGGAATTATGATTTGCATCCCAAATGCAATTCCCAGAAAATATAAAATAAAAATCCAAAACATCCAGCGTAAATAGAAAGATCATTAACATGAAATGCAACTAGATCTCAAAACTGGATTCAAAGATCACTCAAATAAATGCAAGAAATTAGGGAAGAAATATGTAGGGGCAACCTGCCGACTCGTAAGAGCCTCGTCGGAGCTGAAAACCTAATACGAGACGAATCAAGATCTCGGAGCGCGGGACCGAGCAAAAATTTCCCCGGCGATCCGATCTAAGAGGACGTACCAGGCTGGGGATCTTCGGAGCCGAAATGGAAACCCTAGATCCAGGTGCGAAGAAGAATGTGCAGAAACACATTCGGATTAGGGTTAAAGTTTGGGATTGTGCTGATGCAGAAGACGAAGAATAGGTTTAGGGTTTGAGAATTGAGACTCGGTCGCGTTGGTTGGTTCCGATTTTTCAACCGCAAGCTCAACTAAATTGTTTGTTTGGAGCGATTTATATTCCTTAGTAATTCATCTTAGCCGTTAATGTCCTTGAAAAGATCTGACGGCTGAGAATACACCGCATCAGCATATTGAGTTTTTCTTTTTTTAGCGTAGAATAACTTGACTTATGATAAATTCAGTCGTACTAGCACTAGAGATATCAAATTCCAAAATGAATGCGAGTTAAATTACCTAAAGAACAAATTGCCTTGACAAAAATAACTTGATACGAAAGCACAAATAACTCTACTTTTGTTCAAGAATCCCAGCGACAGACAGCAGGGACGCATACACAAGTCATTTGAGTGACAGAAATCATTCATTCATGAAAATAAACATCCAGCAGCAATTAATTCCTCCTATATATTCTAAACAAACAGGAAAGCAAAGTAGTACAACTTATACTAATCTTGTAGAAGGTGATGATCTTGTAGCAACTCAGAAGATGAAGACTCGTTGGATGTTGGAAGATTGCTTGCTGCTCATCACTCATGACGCATGAGATGAGTCATTAGTTTAGTGGGTAGCATCCTTGGGAGAATCTACTTGAGTGATCTGAGTAGTACTACTGCCTTCCACTTTCTTTCCACCCTCTTCCTCTGCTGAAACCTTATCCATGGTCTTCTGCCCTACTTCACCTGCTGCCTTGGCTGCCCTGTTATACGCATCGGTTACCCACGACGTCCCAGTTAGTATGTAACGGTTTTTCATGATTGCAGATCCAGCACTGCTCACCGTCTGCTCTGCAGCTGAAAACGCATTCTTGGTCTTCTCAGAAACCTGAAACTTTTCATCCATTTCCCTCACCTTATCATTTACCATGCTTGTGCCAGCACTAATTTTCTCAGTGAAACCAATCTTTTGGTCCAAAGAAGTTACTGTGGCCGTTGCAGTTGAAGTAAGCTGGTGTTTCTCATCAAAGGCCTTCGCCTTGTTGATTGCATCTTTTCCCAAAACAAAGCCTTTGGCTAGCATGCTGCTCACAACATCCTCTGCGTTTTGGGCAGCACCACCAGAACTTACATTATCTGTTGCCTGAGGAGATTGAACATTGTCAGAAACAAACAAAACTATCGTATAATATGTATCGTTAAAAGAAAAGGTGGCCCTTAGAAAATAATATTACAGTTGGAAGTGCTGAATCTGCAGCAGCTGGAAGCTTGTAATCTGGAGCCAGGTCTATGGTAACGGACTGATCAACTATAGTTGCTCCCTGAAACACACAAGCATAT